TTGTGATATGATATGGTAGAGATAAGGATAAAAACAGATTTTCAGCTGAAAGAAATGGTGGAACCGAGGAGGGTGAATCCTGCATGGGGTGCAGTAAGGGGTGATTGAGGGCTGATATGCACAAGGTATATTCAGCTACGCCGAGTACCAGGGAACAGAGCCCGTAGGACGTAAGCTGAACTGTGAATGTCCCAAGGATAATTACAGACGTCCAGTTGGGTGGAATTTGTCGTGGTGTTTCGAAAACATCTATGGGCGTATTCCATGTTGATGCGATGATGCGAGTGAATAGAAGGCGGTTCAACTTTTCTTGCGCTCCAGCAACAAATTTGGATTGCTCACATCCGAATGTCGCACGGTGAATGTGGCCTGTGAGCCGCAGTTTTTGAGCATGGCTAGCGATCTATCGGGAGAGAGAGAGACGGAGAGAGGGAAGTGCGATGAGATAGGACATGGATGAATGCTTTGCTCCGAACGGGATCTGTATCGGGAACGGTTGCAATAATTGAACCAAATCAGTACTCCAGCATATATGAGAATGCTATTTTCACAGAATACTTGCAAACGTTTCCGTTGAAGAGAATAGATGCCACCTTAATTTGGAACGGGGTTATTAACGCTAACTCGCGAATTCGAAAAAATAGTTCTTGGGTTTGAGTGTCTTAGTTTTGCGACAGTAAAACATTCAAGATTCAGTGAACCGGACATGTATATCACCTAGGTGCCTCAAACAGCCTCAATATAGTCGCGAGTGGCTGTCTCAGGTTGTGGCTGGTCAACCTCAAAAACAACGCTTACACAACCAAGCGTTTCAAATGGTCTCTGCTGCGGAAGACCTACTCACTGCCTCCTCGTGGAGGTGCTTTCACACCGAAGCGAGAAAATGAAAGTCAACATCTGGGGCTACAACCGAGTTGGTGAACCACTGGAAATTCACCTAGGGGATTTCGCTAAACACATTAGTTCCAAGCCAACCGAGAAAAGGTGTACGAACAACACCCATACCTTGCTGGTTTTGGCAGTAGTCATTGGCTGGATTGGTTATCCAGAAACATGTATGAAAAATATTTATATGTATATGTCACCTAGATATTTTGGTAAATTTATCAAATGGAAAAAGCCAATTTGTATGAATATGAGTAGAGACTCATTATGGTTGAGCATACATAAACCCTCGCCTATTTACATTATTGGTGCAGCATCGTTTGATTTGTGCAAAACGTTACTATCATATTCGCCCACAGTATGCGTTTAACTCTTACCATCATCACGAAATTTTCTTGATTCAATGCTCCCCCCCCCGTGGCTTTCTCATCATGAAAGCAAGCAACAGTCTGGAATGCGCTTCCAAAAAGTGTTCACCGGTAAAAGCAATATTACCTTATAGTTCGACACACCTCAATTGCGATGAAACTTCGAATCGTTTGTAGATCTTTAACCCCAATCACACGCACGATCCCGTCACTCTAAGGATGAACTGAGTGTTTTCATAGGCAACCACGTGAGGAAAGATGAGACCCGTTTGTCGCGGTTCGTTTGAAACTCACACTTGATGAACGTCAAACAAGATTGCAGTTTTTACTCGGGACCGAGTGAAAGCGGTGGGCAAAGGTGATTGATCTGTCTACAGAAACTGATCCATCAGTGTCTGCACAAAACGATTTATGGTGATGATTGAAGTACCGAATTGGTCAAAACATGTGAGACATACAGAACAAGTCCTTGTGCTATATAAACGGAAAGAAAGACAAAGTGAACGAGAAGGGGGAGACTAGGTGAAGACGTTCGCACAGTCGTAAAGTATGCGGTCACCTGGTGAGGATAGTCTCAAAACAGAGTGTATGAACACTGTTGAGTAATGAAAAAGTTTTGAACTCAAGTTATAAGTGGTTCCAAGTGATTTAAAAATTTGGAGTATCATGGTATGAACATCATCAGAGTGAATAAAACATCCCACAAAGCGACAATTTAGGTGAATGGGACGGTGAAGATCGCAATACAAAGAAATGGTCTGTTTCTAATCAGATTTTAAGACAACCAATATCTCCGTTTCTAAATGTCAATCATTTAGTTGGGAAAGATTATGTTAATTCTAGAGTTATGAAAGATGAACTCAACCTGCGTATTCACAGATGAGGAAGCCTGTACGGTGACATGCTCAACACATGACCTAGCCATCCATGGGAAGGGGGAAAGGAGTTGCTTTAGTACGTGATCATGATTGTCTGATATGTTTTGCTCAACCTGAGCATTACTTGCCCGGTTATCCCACGAAACTGTAATAATGCGGCTTAGACAGTAGTGGTCGGANGGATGTCGGTTGTTCATTCCTGATGATACACCCAACGCTGGTGTCCATGTACAGGAACAAATTCATCAACCGAAACCGGGTCCACTACAAAGTTGAAAAAGAAAGCGGGTTGAAGATAAACTTGACGGGCACTGCGTACCACGGTGAGCGTAAGAAAAATTCGCCGTGGACTTGAATGTGGCTTCCACTGTTTATATTCTGAAACGAATCGTAAATTATACTCGAGGCATCAACATTGTTTGGGTCCAGAGTGTGGACACGCGCCATCACACTTACTCTTTATAGGTCAATCCGGTCAGATCGATTCCGTTGATTGCCAGGATACGATCACCCAAATCCAGCTCGCCATTCTCGGACGCCGGGCTGTTCGGGTTTACTCCTTTGACAAAAACTCCCGGCTGATCCAATAGGGTGCGCTGTGATGGCAAGAGCACGGGACACGAAGACAATGTGAATGGATTTGCAAAAGTCAGGGTTAAGCACGGCGACAGTGGTTTTTTGTTTTTCATAGTTCGTTATCGGTTGTATGTGCGGATCAATAAGATGTTGGAAACAATTTGCAGATAGGTGAAACGAATAATTTTCATCAGCTAATGATTATGTATAGTTTGCCCGTCAACGTTCTTTGTTTGCCGACTCTTTCAAACCCAAAAGCGATCCTTGAGTTATCAGAGTCCAACTACCTACCACCACCATTGGAAAGAGGAATACAGTAAGCTATGTCTGGTACTAGTTAAATGTTTTCGTCGCTGTCGTCTTTTGATAAAATAAAACTAATCAACTACAGGCTAGGTGTGGGTGGATTTGAAAAGTAAAGTATAGCCATATGATTTCTGTTGGATAACAAAAACCTTCCAAAAAACTGCTCTAATGAATGTAGAAAAACGAGGTTATTTATAAGCAACACACTTTTAAAGGCGATCGCCCACACACAGAGTGAGCCAGCCTGATCAGCTGATCAGGAGACAGGTGCGATCGATCAAAATTTCAGCACATGGTTTCACACTAATGAAGATACCCAACACGAATGAAATCGTGTTCTAGGATTGAAATTGGTAATCCAATATTCCAGTCAATCACCATTTTATTTTTTGTATTTTTAGTTATGCAACTTTTTATATGATCAGAATAATGCCACGCATATCTTTCGGTATATCTCTGCAACAGCTTCACCGAGATTCCCGACATTATGTCAGAGTGGAATACATAATTCTGATTTCCGTTATGCAGTTGCGCAGTTGAAGGTGTACAAAGCTTATAGAGGCTATACAAAGAAATGATTATTACGTGAGCAAAGGAACGTTTTCATTGTCTTCGTCTGCTGAGGTCACCGTTAAGAATCACACCTGGTGAACACAGAGAAATGCTCACCACCAAGCTAAAGCTTTTAGCATACACGACAGGCTCAATATTTGTGAATTAAATTGAGGTTTCTTTCAGATCGTGTGTGTGGGCGTGGTAACAATCGAACNTGTAATCAAAATAAACCGATCGAAAACGGTAGTTCATAAGTTTTTCGTCTTGGAAAAAGGACAAAATAACCTCTGAGGTATCCTTCCGTAGACAGTGAAAATTAGAGCTGCGTGTTCTTTTTCTATGCAAAGATGGTGTCAATTCTCATCAGGTAAACATGATAAACCTAGATGAAGTGGTTAAGCAGTTGTATATGCGAAGGAATGGGTGGCCACAAGCACGTTGCTCTGGCATACATTTGGTGATGAATAGCTTACATGACAAAATGACCGAGTTACTTTAACACACACACACTTGCCTGTCGATCTCCAGCCCTGGATACCCTCGGGTTAAGCATAGCTGAATGCTACCAGGCCCGTCCCCGGGTTGTGGATAGGGTGACACCTTTACCAAAGGTTTCCTGTGAATAAGTTGTGGCAACAAACAAGCAGTCGCGAACACAGCGGCGGCACTAACAGGGTGCGGTGGGTTTCAGGCTTGTCACTTGGCTCCTATTCAAAAGCCGCATAGGCCCAATGATAAAGGTTGATGTGACTGGCCTTTTAAAACTAAAGTCATTGACCCCCTCAATTCCGAAGCGAGGGGTAATTTCCTGTTCTTTTGCAGTTTGCACTTGGTTGTGCAAAAGCAAGAGGTGCGCCCTCAAAATAAAAAAGCCGAGTGACGCTCGGGTCATCTCTCGCACCAAACTCCCAAGGGATCTTGATCATGATCATGTCTGGAGCCGGCTTATCCTTTCCAACGAGCCAGCCGCAGTAAAAAAAGTTCATCTCCAGCCGATTCTTACCGTTCGTTATTTCGCTGAATTTTGCACTAGATGCAGTGGCCAAGATGATTTCAGAGTAATGTTTGTAGTTAGCTACAATACGGTGACAACCTTTCTTATTGCATCGGTTCAGCTCGCATTCAGAAGTGACTCATTGCACAGAGATTTGTTTAAGTGAGGGTGTTTCCATTGGACGATTGATCATAATTGATTAACTGCGTGTATGATTATCCTCAAAGCTAAGGAATTTTATTGTTCCAAATCTGCTATTGTCAACACTGCAACGGATCACCAAAACAAACCAAATTCATTTTGTTTTGGCTTGTTTAGTGCGAAGTCATTGTCTGAAGCTTCATGATGCTTTCGGTTCATTCTGTGTTAACACCGTGATAATACGCCCTTGTCATGTACTCTTGAAACAATTCGACAAATACCTTTCAGTGTCAAATTGCTTTCGGTCATGCAAGGATTCACCTCACACACACATACACACAAAACACAAAAACACTGCCAGTCAGTTTAGTGAATTGTACGCAGCGGCTATTGGACATGAATTTTTCAACCCCGGTGTTCAAAGTCGGGAGCAATTCATCAATTTTCGAGTGATTTACGAGGACAACAACTTAGATCAAGAAGCATAAAGTTTCTTCCATTCAATTTGAATGTAACAGTGCCATGTCCTGGCAAACATCCCCAACCCTTTTTGTCTTCTCGATCACTCATTTTGAAAGAAATCATAAAATTTGCCAGCATTCCTTTTGGGTTGAGGAAACGTATATTATTCATACGTTTCTGTAACAAAGCAAATTATTGTATTAAAAAATAACTTTCTGAGTAATGATTGCTGTAAAAGACACAAAATGGTCGCATCTGTTGCTATGACTAATAAAGCTGATTGTTTGGAAATAAGCGAATTCAGGAATGTCTGTGCGATCATTTGAGGACGACTGCAAGTCTAAATATCTGATGAAGCCTCACAGATCTTATTCACACACAGATGCAATCAAACCTACTGGTCGACCTGATCAGTACATGGCACAAAACCAGTTACATTTACCGTAAGAATATAAATTCGTTCATTCGATATCACGAATATTCACAAAACGAGCTTATTGGATTTGTATGCCTGAATAGTTTTCATCATTATTCAAACATCTTATGTATTTCTTTCAGAAAGGCATAAAGTTGACCAGTTGTCATCGGTCTAATTTATCTGTCGTCTGTATTCTGTCCTAATTGTTAAATCATGTTGCCTGAACGGCGCTGATGAACCGCTCAAGTTCATCAACTTATCGCCTCGAAACTTCTTACAGTAATCTGCTGATCACTCCGCGCTAAAACTGATAATTCATCTTTGTCATTCACTTGGAGTGATATCTGAAGTCACAACAGTATAATGGTGGTTATTTATGAATAATGCATCATTTTTGCTAACTTCATCAGTAGCAGACAGAGAGTCACATACACCAAACAAACCGCAACCATTAGGGTAATAGTGTACTCGTCTAATTTGAAATGACAACTACAAAACACGAGAGATGCGAACTACAGAAATATAAACTGAGCTAAAAAGATTCGTTCCCTTTCTTTTTCTCTTGAGCAAAAGAATACTGATTCGTCAACAGAGAGATTCTTAAACCATAATCATCAGGTCACTCCGTAGGCAGTGGTGATGTGTTTGAATCCAAGCAGCACCGACACCCATTTCACCGCTTTTCTTAGCCCCAAACCCTAAGGCCCCTTGATTAACCATTTACACCTTGTTGAAAATTTCTTGTGCAATAAACAGATGGCAAAAGAGTCGAATAAAAGTCATCACAGTCTGGCAGACAGAAACAATAGAACTGTTCGGACTCGGAAATTCCAATGCAAGTCCGGATTTCTATAAAGAAGTTGAGCATAGTCAGAGACTACCTCCTGACAGTTATCTGCAACGACTTACTTCACCATCGACTAAAGTGAGACCAAAACCACTTGTCGGTGACCGGACCAAAGTGACGTTGGATATCATAGCTCCCTGAGTCGATCGAGCGAGCACATCCCCCAGGTCATCCATACGGCTCATTGCATTCGATTCCCGATCGAGGAAGGAGTCAGCCAGGGAACCAGAACTACCGCCAGTGGGCTCTTCAACGATGATATTTGGAGTCTGGGGCTGATTGAGTACAGCGTGCAGATTTCCCAAACTGGCACTGACCATACTGTGCATCGGGTGTCGTGGAATAAGCATACTGGAGCCCGTATTCGGTCCACGAATACGATCCATTCCTCGTCGAAGAGTGTTCATCCGAAAATCTTCCCAGTTCTGTGAGGCGGCCAATACTTGATGTCCATAGGTGTTTTGTGCTTTTGTGATCTCACGAGTTGCGGTTGGGGGTTCTTCACTGGGTAGATGCCACAGACTTTGTGCCAATCGATTAGTTGGTTGCAATGTTTTGTTCAACGGAGTCATGTGGGAATATTCGGTAGCAGCAGGTGAGTTTTTCGGATAGTTCCCATAGTATCCATTCACTTCAGGTTGGTTGGGTCGTGAGAAATTGAAATTCGGCTGACTCTCGAACACAGACGGTTCCCTTGGAGCCATTGGTTCTCGATTGGGAAATGATGATTTAGGACCACCGGGTGTGGAAGCTTGTCGCTGGTATCGGGCTAGAATTTCCGAAAAGTCCACGTGTGGAAGGGATGCAGCAAGACCTTCCAGGTGGTATAGCGCAGCGTCCCGCGGGTCTTTGGGCGTTTCCTTCGGAACAATCACTGTGCGCTCCGGTTGTTGCTATAGCGGAAAAAGACGCCTGATTCAGATACGTTCAAAGCTATGGACTACAAAATGGAGGCAAACACCACGCTATGATAAACCAATATTTCCACGATTGGGCAGATATTCTTACGGTAATAACAAAAGAACTATTTATTACGTCTACTTACCTACCTACGTTTAACTATTGAACCGGAGTTGTTTCAATCTGAAGAAGCTTGAACAAATTTTCAGGCAGAACATCTATGTAGTACAATGCAGACTACCCATTTCTGAATATTTTACATCCAGCTAGTTGTACGACTCCTTATTGATACGGGAAAATGTTGCAATCAATCAAAGATATTTCCAATCCAAAGCAATTTCCCGCGTTTAGCTGTCTATAATGATATCTGAATGTAAAACTTGTTNTTCGAGAAAGTTACCGCGCGCAACACGTCTGCTACACTTCTCAATTTAAGAGGCGATTCTGACAGAGATTGACTGATGCCATGAAGTCATGTTCACATTGAATAATCATTAGCAACAAGTTTTGATCGGCTGGTCTTTCGTAGATACCAAATGGTTCTACACGAGCAATAGGAACTATATGATTGAGTAACCACTTTGGACGTGGAAAACTTGGGACTTTAGGCACACTAAATGTTTGTTCACGTATACCCAGTCTCGAACAGAGCAACGCGTACGGGCCTTATTATTGGCGTTTGAAGTGCTTCTTTATGCTCCAGGATACACATGTAACATGCGTATTACCTGATGGCTCTCGAGCTACCTTAAGAAATCGATTGCATACATGGAAACCATCACTGATTTATGCCATACCGATTAGCTCAGTGCCAGTGAAACAAAGCATCGTCGGAATGACCTTGAACCAGACACGCCATCGAGACAATACCTTGTGTCGCCTCATTACTCATTCACAGGGGAATAGCAGGGTGCCGTTACTCAGCTCGGCTCGGCGGCATAAGGTCATGATCTTTGAGAGTCGTTGTTTCTAGAGAGAAATTTACATACACATATGCACACGCACCAGTTGAAATTGCATGCGCAATCTAGATCATAAATACCATAGTTAAGATAGTTATGAAACTATAATGGTAGAAAAAAATAGAATATCCATCTCATTCCTCTCTCACTGTTTGTTGACTGAATCATTCTACTTTCAGAGTCGTAAATAGGAGGAGGAGTAAGTGGGGGGTTGTCAGGACTGTGGCAACAGACGCCTATCCTTTTGAAATAAAAAGTCATCATCAGGGATTTGTAAAGAAGTCATTGTGATGTAATAACTGACAGACAAGTGGAACAGAAACACAAATGTGTACAGGTGTGTGTGTGTCTGTAGAAGGTTTCTTTCGACGTCTACTCGCACATAAAAAATGTGATTGGTCATCATTTTAATGAGCGGCCCATCACTTGGAGCTCAGATGGCCATTACAATGGATAGTTCATGTGTTGATGGAACGAATTCCCCGTCACGCACGGTAATGAATAGTGCTGTGGCCCGATCGATTCAGTAAGCCTAGTTTGACCTAAATATGTGTGATGCCATCTATGTGAGTGCTTTGTGAGAGCCCCTGACCATCGATTGCATGCTTGTAAAATTTCATTCACACTACCACCACTGAGACTCAAAGAAGTGATTGGATGTTCCTCTAAATTAGTAACTCAACTCATATCAAGTCCTCTCATTTGTTCCTCTTCGACGTATAACTTTTGAGAATGCTCATATTATTAGAGAACCTTTTCTCTGTTGTGTTGAGCTTCCGATTAGGTGCATCCCATGATTGGTTGGAGGATCGGAACGGATGCGTTGGAGTGAGATACAAACTGGCAGCATTCTTGAAAGCGTGTAATAACACAACTGTAGCTCAGAATCTGGCGCGTTTGATAACTGACCTAGTCAGGTCATCGTAATTTATAGGTATCCATATCTCGGAGCTAGCTGTCACGTGAGTGCAACAGATTTTGCTAACCGTTTGGTGAGGGAAACGGGTTCCCAGACAAACATCCAGAGAAATAAAATAGTTACACCAAGCAGAATCCCATTTTTTAATAGAAGAGTGTGTATCAGGAACGAAAATAAGGCGTAGATTCAATTTCCTGGGAAACGGAAAAGTCAGGGGCTCAGTCTCAATTCTGGGATACAAATTGGATTCACGTGACAATTGTTAGGTCAATAGATTTAAAAGTGCTACTTCTGTGTACTATGGCCTGACTTAATGGCATGTTCAGAAAGTGTGCACTATTCTGAATAGTCACCGTCTATTCGATGTTTCATTTTTAAAACTGAAATTAGTTTGCTCAGTTGGTCTATAGATGAGTAACGTACACTTACATCATTATTATACGTTCGAATAATCCGTACTGGTTCACCTTTAGACGGAGCAGGTTTCAATCGATCAGACAGACCATCACGTCCACCAACCCCAGGCACTACAATCTCATGTTCTTTACGACGGCAATCGATTTGCATATTATTGGTTGGATAATCATCCGAATGATAATACAAATTCGGATTTGATTTGGTCAAGTCTCTACGCGGAAAAGGCGATGGACCACTGGCACGTAGTGGTTGTTGTTGCCCATTTGCTGCACGAGAACGTCGACCGGTGGCTTGACGCTGTCTTGATTGCGGTCGACTCAGTGTGTCCTGATCAGCCTCTGGCATTAGCGGGATGGCCCGAGCTCCGGGACTGTATTGCATTAGAGCAAGCCAACGGAATTCAATGCGTTGTGCTATTGAAGTTAACGCGGTGACGAGGAAGAGGGGGGAATTGGCGAAAATTGGGAGCAAAATATATATAAATATAAGTTGAATTCATGATGTGAAAAAATTGCTGCTGTTTCAAAAGGTGTCCTCTGAATGTTACAAAAATACATTTGTGATTCTGATAAAATATTCCGTTTCCCAACAGAAAATGTCTTCGTCAACTCGTATGGAAACTGTTAGATTACAAACCAGTTTTAGTTAGTTACTCCAAGACCAATTGAAGTTCGAGTGACCACAGATGAGTTTGACATATAACTATGCAGATAGAATTATACAACAGTTCGAAAACCGACAAATTGATCAAATACAAAATGAGCACCCTGAAGCCAATCTAAAATCTGATCATCTCAGTGCGTGTGTGTTCGTGTCCGCGTGTGCTGCCGGTTGAGAAAATTCACGGAACCAGTAACAGTCTCAGAGACGATCGTTTTAAACGGGAATCCGAGGAAACCTAGTGGTACATCCGTGATAGCACGGGATGGTTCTGTGTAAGCAAGTGCACAGATCAATAACCACATGGAATGAGTGGCTGTGAGGAAAGAAAACACGAAGTAGTGCTAAGTGGACTGGGTATAAATTTTTTCCAAGCACAATGTGTTGATCGAACTCGTGTAAAATGACCCTAATCTTGAAAATACATTTCCGTTTTCAATATTACACTTGCATATTGATGGCTATGGGTGAATTGTATTTATTCCGAGGTTTATCTACCTCAGTTTTCTTGTATCACCATTTGACTTTGCGTGACCTCGAGTGTTGCGAAAAAAATTGTAGTAGTGCAACAGTTACGGCTCAGATTGAAAAATATTGTAGACAAAGCAGCATGGNTGGAAGTTCATTCTTTCTAATAAATGATTGCTGTTTCATCAGCGTGATTATTCTGGTGAATACAGGTATTCTAAATAGCTCAACTTTTCTCATTCGGAGCACAGTATATAATCCGAATAATGAAACTTTTCTAGCTCGAATGAATTGATAAATTATGTGACTACGAACTACTCACGTATTAGCCCTTATCCTAAAAAAACGAAAAATATACTCCAAGAAACATAATAGCTGACCTTCAAAAGTTGACCTTGAGATATGCGGCTCGTTGAATAAGCATCATGTAGTGTCACCGTGCCCAAACCGGATGAAAAATCCTAGAGTTCTTAACATAACAGTGGAAGCAGTAA